AGTCTGATAAAAATTGGCCCGCTTCGTTTAATAATAATGATAGCAATTATTTACAATTTTAAACCATATATCTAATTATTTACAAATTTTTAAAATAATTAATATTAATGTTCACGATAGAGGACTGATTACAATATATGAGAAAAGAAAAAAATTAGCATTACTAAATAGGAAAAACTAATAAAATAATAAAGACCTAAAAATTATGAGTGCAGATGTAGACCAGCTACAGCGAGGGTGAAGTCTTCTGCGACCTCGCGTGATTTAAACGGAACACTCTAGAACCTCTTAAGCATCTGTGTACAGTTCTCAATGTGGCAAATGAAAGTTGTATTCGTAGCCAGGAAATGACGCTGGCATAAAGTTCATTATTCTTGTTCGAAAGCTTATTTGCGAGGGTTCTTAAAAAGTTCTGACAGTCAAGTCCCGTGCCTCCGTTTGTAGCAAACACCAACGGTGTAAAAGTTCCCATTTCCACCTCCATCACTCCCTGGTTGTATTTCCTCTTCTTCTCGTTTTCTTGCTCTTTGAAGATCGTAGCTGTGGACTTGCCCTGGTTGGACCTGGAATTAACATGCGTTACACGTACGTCGAAAAATGCTGTTACTCCTAGTGTCCAAAAGCCTCCCGCCTTCATGTCCAGCCTCGCTTCTCGACTTGTGACAGTTGACTGCAGGTTAAAAACTTCATTGTCGAGCTGTTGCAGGAGTGGCTCTGTCTCCACATTTCTACACACTTTACTGATGTGTAAAGTCAGTAGATCTCGAATTGTATCGTGTTTCTGGGCAACAAAACCTCCTTTCTTGCATGACAAAGCATGGTTGACAGTAAAGATTTCTCCACATGCACAGTAGCTAGGGAGATTAGGCAGAGGGAGGTTGTAGCGGAGGCAAAGGGAGTCCCTAAACTCCCGCTTGTTTAAAACCAGTCCATGTTTTTCGACTGCAGTGGCGTTTAGCCAAGAGCTGGCTCCCTTGTCCCTTGTCTGCGGCACTGATTGGAGTTGATCAGGAGATAACGATTCGTCAATCCTGTCAATCCGGGACTTTGCAGCGGCTCTCCTTTGAGCGTTCATTTCACGCTTCCTTTCCTCCATCAACTCTCGTGCTGGAATGGTGGAGCTTTGAGTAACAATAGAATTGACGTGTAGTGCTGTTATATCACACGAGGCTTTGAACTGCTCCGGACTTTCACGCTTAAGATCAGGAGTCCCAATCTCGCCCTGCGCAGGTGATAGATGGACAAGTTCCTCAACTTCTTCGGGGAGAGGCTCCGCTCGCCCGAATAACGAAGGAAGAAAGGAAGTGTAAATCACTTCTTCGATGGGGTCCACATACTCTTCAAATGATTCTATGGTGCGCAAGTAATAAGTGAATTGCGATTTAAATCCTTTAGTGAAAGCGACATTGGCAGCGTGGGGCTGACTCTTGCTGATCTCTGTGAGGGACTCCATTTCTCTGAGTCAGTTATCAGCTTTCTCTTGATAATATTGATCCTTAAACTCTTTTGATCCGATGACCGCACCGAGATGACGTCCTCCTTCGAGCGTTATGTTCACTTCATTGCCAAACACCTTCTTTGCATTCTCTACCAGATCACTGGTCTTAACAATTAACCAGCTTTTAGCACCATTAACGATATAGCCAAATTTTCTCCCTTCCTCACATAAACTCTTGTACCATTGATAGAGTGACTCTATACTCATTCCACCCGCGGAGTCATCCGCCAGCCAGACTTGCTTGACTTGGGGAAGTGATGAATTGATGCCCCGAGACTAGTGATCATGTGAACGGTGTTAATTGCATACCAAGGCATTGCTATCGGGCCACCTTGGGTGGTACCCTCTCGGGAAAGGATCTCGCCTCCGCCATTAATGAACAGCCTAGAAGAGCTTCTATACGTGTTAATGATATATAAGGCGATTTCTTTACATGGGATCCTAATGTTATGCATGGTCACTGCCCTGTTCATCTGATTGAACGCGTTAGTCGCGTCAATTAATAGAACTCCATCCGTCCCTTCCTCATCAAAACCCTGACTCATTGCGTGTAGGGCTGCTTTTGATCCAGTGCTATGACCTGCACAAACTTGAAGTGGGCCAACTGCCTCCTTTATCTCCTCCTTAAACATTGCAGAGGTGGTTTTGCCGATTATGCGGCGCAAGACCTCTTCCACTCCAATTGGTCTAACTCCTGGGTTTTTGTCCAGTGGTATCAGTCTACAAGCAGTGTAGCCTTCAAGTAGGGAGGGATGGTAATTGAACTTTAGCAGGTTTCTCGTCAGAGTAGCGATCTCTTCTCTTAGTGTTTTTCCCTCCGCCGCAAAGTTCTTCGAGCAGAGAATTCGACGGTACAGTTCGGCATCCATTCCGGAAGGGCCAGCAGAACCTTTAGTTTTCAAGGCGGAGTCAAAGATCGACTACTCACTGATTAGATCAAATATGCCGGGTGGAACGAGGTCTACAGGACCATGCAGAAGACACTCCTCTTCGATTTCAGCGGGAAGAGGGTGTTTCTCTTTCAATTGAGCTAATACTTCGTCTGACAGATTCAACAAACCCGACGAGCTCTCTTTATCCAGCAATTTGATCGCTGCCGTGAGTTTCCCTTGAAAGACTAACTTTGCAAACGTTCTTGAGATGTCTTCAAACGATCTGGACCTTTTAGAATTCACAAACCTATCTTGAATGAGTCTTATCTCCTTCATTAGCATATTCAAGTCACTCTGCCTCCAGAGAGCTAATCTCCTCTCTACCGCCACACTGTGCTCTTTGCTTCTGGAGGTTGCCGAAGGTTTTTGTATAATTGCTGAAGGAAGCACTATAAATGCTTTAAAGGCGATCGAATTCAGATCTGAGTTGGAGTTCAATTGTTTCAGCCAAAATGTCAGCTCCTCGATGAAATGTTTACTTGCTCTGCCCGACTGTAGATTGAAAATATTTCTTCGGAAATGAACAACCTCATTATAGATATTAT